AAGTAGGTTGGGCCACAAACTTCACAGAAAGGTGAATAAGGGCTTTTAACTAGTCCATCCTTTTTTCGAAGAGAAGATTAGGGGGTATTTGATGGATATTATTGGGGTAAGAATATATTTTAAATAGTGATATGATGAGAAATATGTGATTAAAAAGAAGGAAAAATTATTGATGTGATGAAAAATATTATTTTCTTGAAGATTGTGTGGTTGAAAATGAATTTTGAAAAAAATGAGTTTTGATAAAAATGTATTTTGAAAGAATGCATGTCAAACATGGACTTACTCTTTATTTTAATTGAAGATTTTTCATTTAAAAGATGACAGAAAGAAAAAGCTGCATTTGGCACTAAAACAGCCACCCACCTTACAGTACAATTACACAAGTTCCATCTCGATAAATTCCCATAGGCATTAAGAAAAATGTGCTATGAACAGCGGCACTGTTCGTGGGGGAATCACCATAATCAGAGTGTGCAAAGGTCTATTAATTCTGGATCCGTCAGTGTACCCAACTGGGATCTGGAATAAGCATAATATGACGTTGATCGGTTGATGACAGAACAATGCACTCGCTCTCACGTTGACTATGGCTAGGGTGAAAGTACAAAACATAAGGAGAATCTTATTTCCTGCATCACATCAACGGCTGAGTATATAGCTGCCTTGACAGTTTCGACGTCTCCCTTGAAAATTGAGGTTGGATAAATAGTTGGTTTATCTTTAAAAAATTGAGACTCCAAAAAATTGGTGCCCTCAATTTACCTGTCCTTTTGTTCCTCTGAGCACCATTTTACATGAAAATTTTTGTATGAAATAATAGCATTTGAAATTCGGAAACGGAATTGGATGAAATTTTGGAACGAGAGATGATTTTGAAGGAGAGAATAGGATTTTTGGGGTTCTAACTTCTAAAATAGAACCAAAAAATATGAATAAAACGCTTGCATGGATTTGTTGTTTGTTCAAATGAAATGAGGATCCAGAAAAATTGTTACTTCTAACCTATACATTTTAGGAGTAATGTTCGATGTCTCAACTTTGTCAAATTATTGCAGTTTTTATTTTAATTTTTTATTTGTTGCGGTATCTATCTCAAATTTTTTGATTCGATGCAGTGGTTCGATATTTGGACGGTTTCTTAAAAAAAAATTGACTACATTTTGCCTAATTTTGAAGGACATAACGATTACTTTATAAATTTACACATAAAATAATTAAAATAATCATAAAAATAATATTTCATCTTCTTCCCCTCTCCGACCAAACCAAAATAACGACGGCAATTATTATATTGATGAAGCTCAAACTTAGTAATAAGAATAATGTTACTTGTACAAAAGACATTATATAATGGTTAACATATAGATGAAGTGTTGAAAGAGAATGAAGAAATTTTTATTTATTTATTTAGTTGAAGATATTCTGACTCAATCATGTCTCACCACATTATGCATAAACCGAAAGTAAACCGTTAATTTCTTTCAAATGGAGCTTGAGGGAATGACGAAATTGAAACACAAAATAAAGGTTGATTCATAAAATTGAAACACGCAAGTTAGTTAAAAGAGTTTCTGAATAATAGAGTTGCAAAATTGAGGTTTCAAATTCCTGCATAGGCCTATTGGGCCAATGAAAATATTCAGATTTTCCCGTGATTAAAAAGATGAAAAAGCCCAACAGGTGTGGTCCACGTCAACTGCGCATTAAATAGTAAAAACAAGAGATGCTTGGTGTACAACACTGGTGTACACCAAGTCACACAGCTCTCTCACAACAATAGTGGGGTTCATGATTATAAAATAATCGTGGGGCTTACGATTGTGAGAGAGCTGTGTACAAGGATGTACAATAATGTTGTACAACAGCTTTTTCCAAAAAGATGTTGTCTGTTGGGACTTGGACAATAAATTTGACCAAATATGATAAATGACGGAATTATGTTGTCTACTCTTCATAATAAATACACGGAAAAAACCAAATGGCCAAGGCCACAAATAGGGGCACCACATGGATGGCAAAGTAGCAAAACCCTACTTACACTACTTAATTAAATGGTAAATGATACTTAATTAAGATTCGTAGTTTTATATCTTCACACGTTCTTATCCCTACTGCCTCTCTCGCGTCTCTTTTAAACCCTAGCAATCTAGCACTGCCATTACCACCAACTTAGCTCGTGTTTGGTCTCCATTTTCTAATATTTATTTTTTCTTAAACTCATTTTTAACTACACGTTGCATTGAATCCACTTTATCAATTTTTCAATTATACGTTTCCTTAACTTTTATCGAAATCTAAAAAAAAAAAATCTAATTTTTAACTAAACTAAATAAATGCTTAATTTGATTGTCGCCTTAAACCACTATTTCGCCTTGTTCCTCTAGATATGAAATAAGAATTGCAATGTGGAGTTTGCAACTAGCCAAGTGTTGGCACGAGGATTTAACGATGACGTGAGGGGTTGTGTTGGCTATTCAAATGACAATGGAGGTAATTCGGTGGTGACAAAGGTACGTATAAGAGTGTGTAAAGATGATGATGTTGGTGATATTTGAAAGTGGGAGATGGATTTAAGGTCTCAATCCGATAATCCGATCAAGATCCGAATCCGATAATCCGTTAACTAAATGGATCAAATATGGATATAGGTCAATCCGATCCGATAACAATCCGATCCGATTTATTATAAATAGTCGAGTCGGTAAAATATTTTTATGACATATTATGT